TTGAATTTTAATTATTTTTTCTTCCGAATACCTTTTAAACTCCCCCCCCCCATCCCATCCCATCCCCTCCCCTCTGCTCCCCGTCACCCCCACAGTGCAGTGTAAGCACTTCTCTATCTCGTGTTCTGCCAGCGCTGCCAGCCCAGAATATCTCCCTCAGCACCCTGCGCTCCGAGTGTGTGTAGCGACTGTAGATATATGCCCAAGAAAGCCCCAACAATGCAGCAACACAGGAAGAGCAAAGTGAGCAGATTGATGAAAGCAAGGTCAGGAGATAACACTTCCTATTAGAGCGCAGCCACAGCCACACAGAGGTCAGGTAGGAATTAATGCAGCTAAACTACAAACAACAAGTCTGCTTAAACACACACACGCACACACACACACACACACACACACACACACACACACACACACACACACACACACACACTCCAATGCAGATCTCAAACTTTCTTGCAGTCATGTCATACAGTTCCTTTGCTAAAGCGAAAATTTTCACATGTTGTATTTTATTGGAATTTCAGGTGACAGATCAACATAACGAAGTGCATATATGTGAAACTGATGAAAAATGATTTATGCTTGTCAAAATCTTAAAAGTGCGGCATGCATTTACATTCAGCTTCCCTTCGTATGCCCACTTTTTAATATTTCAGGACACCTGGTCGTTTGGGTGTCTCAGCCAAGTGTACTCACATGTTTATTGCAATTTGTGAAATACGCAGACTTTACTGAGAGTGTTGGTGAACATAAATGTTCGAGTTCTTCCTGGATTCTCAGCTGGATTAAGATTTGGGGTGATCGATGGAAACCACAGGTCCTTATGGCAGCGTCCTGCAGCTTCATGATGCGTCGCAGCGTCAACACACCTGAATCGAACAACCAGATCATCAGTTCTGTAGACCTTGACTGGATGCTGAGGAGAAATTTAACACTTTCTTTATCACAGTGTGTTGAACCCAGAGCTGCCATTTGACACCCTTGATTTAGAGCTTTCCATTGGAGCCCTCACTGGATGTTCAAGGTTGATGTCCTACTGGACGGTGTCTCAATTTTTCTGCAGCTTCCTGCTTCGGATTGTTCGCCCAGGGTGGCAAACAGGCTAGGGACGCTTCTGATCCTCGTGATGCTGTTTGTTCACTAATATTCTCTAAAAAAAAAACAAAGTCTATATATTGGGAATAGATAACAGGCATGGGAACTCTTTATCCATTTGGTGACTTCTGAGTTAGGGGTGAGCATTTATTATTATAAATGTCTCATCATAATTAGAACTTTAATTTTTTTTCCCACAATAAATTACAATCAATAATGTTTTAAATCTTCTAAATCTATCTGTATTGTCAGAATTGCTAATTTTGCTATTTTCTTTTCACCGTTTGTTCAATAAGAGTGTCAATAAACATGAATAAATTTGAAGACATGATTAAATGTGGCTACTGTGTGCAGTTCAGTGATACTAATCACGCTTCTGCCACCTGAAACCCTAATAAATTACATTTGCATTTGTAAACGGTGGAAAAGTTCACGGCTGTTTATGCATGATGTGTGTGAGTTCATGTGGAAACTTCAACTCTGTGGGGTGTGTCTGCTGTAGTTAACATTGGCCTACTGTCTATATTTAGCTTGAAACCCTCCGAGTTCCCCTGTGTGACCCTCACTTAGAGCTGCAGGCATTCCCATATCTGAGCACAGGGACGGTGCTGCCTGAAACAGAGAAACGCGGACAGACGGGGCGGAGGGAGGGAGGGGGGCGTCTGCTGCATTCACAGTGCAGGTTCTTTTTCAGCCACAAGTACGAGAATAAGTGCGATTTAAAAGTGAATCTAGTTTAAGTTAGGACCCGAACAATGAGAGCAGGGACCGCTCTCTGAGGTGTAGCCATGGAGGAAGGCGAGCTGGTGATCAGGCTCCCCGGGCGATCCGACTCCCCACTGGGCAGCAGGGGTTCTGGTGGGTTAGGCGAGACCCTGGTGCTGAGGCACAAAGAGGTTCACCACTTCTTCTTTGTTCCCTTCAGGGAGCAGCCCATCTACAGCACGAGGGCCCACGTCTTCCAGATCGACCCCAACACCAAGAAGAACTGGCTGCCCGCGAGCAAGCACGCCGTCACTGTGTCCTACTTCTACGACAGCACGCGCAATGTCTACCGGATCATCAGCCTGGACGGAACCAAGGTGGGCCGACGCCTCGCAGCATTACCTGATACTGTTAGTGCGTCTCGGTTGATGTCCAGTGTAAATAACTCTGTTAATAAGCGCTGCAGTAAACACTAACGCAGAGACACTTCATAAACGCGCTCAGGTTTGCAGGACGTTCCAGGGCCGGAGGGCTCATGATTCATTTTGTCTGTCTCTTTGTCTGAACTCGAAAGTCTCGAGTAGATCATGATTAGAGGATCTGAGAGCGAGGAACTCGGTGCGGCTGGGTTTTATTTAGGTAGCAGGGTTTACTAGAAGCAGACAAGAAAGAGAGTGAAGAAACGGGCAGGTAGCCAGGTGGACAACATGATCCAGAAATGTGACTGTGGCGATCAGAATTTCATTTCAGAAAGCAAGTGAACTTTTTATAAAAAGACAGCACTTTTTTTATTTATTTATTTATTTTTTTTTTTTTTGTGGGTTAACGCAAACAAATTTTCATCATTTCTGTTGACACATTTTTTTCTGAAGTGCTTCTTTTGTTTGTTTGCTTTTTTTTTAATGCTGCATTCAATTCTCTTGTGTTTCCTCCTCTGTTTCTGCTTCTGCTGATTTTATTGCCACTGATTTTTGTAGATATGTTTTGGGACTCAAGCTTAACTATCATCTCATATTGGTGAGAAAATACTGGACCTCTAAGTTGTGTGAAAAACACCTTGGCTTGCTGCTATCCGTTTCAAATTCATTTCTCGACGCCAACAGGAACGCCAGCTATTGCATAATCTTGCCAATACGGCAGCCAATTCTTGTCTTTATTAGTAATGTTCTGTAAAGGTGGCATAATTTACCAGGAATTAGAAGTAAACCACATTTCTGAGTAAAGCTGCATTACGTTTCTTTTTTTGGTTGAACTAAAACTGGCTTCGGTTTAATGCATTTTGCGTCTCCTGAAGAAGGAGATCGTTGCACATCAGTCTGGATTTTTCCTGTTTCAGTTTTTACCATTGAAATGATTAAACCCGTTTGAGTCTCCACAAGAATTTGCTTGCTCAATGCATAAATAAAGGGTTATGAAGAAGTGGCTGACACAGATTGTTGTCACCTTTATCATTATCACAATAGTTTCACAAAATACTTTATGTCCATATTTCCTGTAGCAGAAAGTAACACTGTAAATGCAAATAATCAGCTTGTAAAATGACAGAAAACTATTTAAATTTGCTGTTAAAATCTGGTAAGTTACAAGTTGTAATCTGAAACAGATGACTAGTTTTATTTGCTAAAATTACAACGATGTTCAGAAATCTTATTGCCATCCTACTGGATGACCGATGATCTTCTAACAGGGACATCTGTGATCTTTACAGCCTGATTCAAGAGGAAATTGTCAGGGCGAAAAACCTAATTGACCTGTTTATTGGAAAAGCAGACTGTTTAACATCAATTTAACAAAAGTAAGAAATTGAACAGCAGTGAAAAAAAAAATGTCTCAATTATTTGATGCTTTTTAACAAGACGTCATTTTTTAAAATTTAAAAAGGGTCAGTTTATTATATGTTAATTTAATATTTCAGGTTATTTTTTGAGACCTATTTATTTAACTTTTTTAACAACAACAACAACAACAAAAAAGCATTCCCTGCTTTCCCAGTTATCTTTTGTATCATATTGGACACATTAGGCTTTTTCTGTCATGCACATTCCATAATCAATAAGATGGAGTTTTTTTTTTCCATATATTCAGCATTTTTGCAAAGAATGTGTAAAAGCTTTTTAGCAACACAATTTCTACCTACACCAGGTTTTAGAAGAAACTTTGTAAAGAGCTAGATGTCTGAGGAATACTTGTATCATAATAGGGTGTAACACAGTACATTCTGCTCATTAAATTTGATGGGTTCTCTTTTTGCAGGCAATAATCAACAGCACCATCAGTCCGAACATGACGTTCACAAAGACGTCACAGAAGTTTGGTCAGTGGGCGGACAGTCGAGCGAACACCGTCTACGGACTGGGTTTCTCCACCGAGCATCATCTGGCCAAGGTGCCACTGCTAAAACAAACACGACAAGCCACGAGTAATCTGTTGCTTCTGAGCTTTGCTGCTGGATGGTTTTGATTATCTTTGCTGCCTGAGGGATTATTTTGTATCAATACACCTCACGTTCTCAGCTTCCCAGTAGGGGAAGTTTTCTGCATACATCTAAACTGGTAAAATAGTTATGCATCACCATCACTCAGCAGTAAGCTTAAGCTCATTAAAGGCATTTCCTGTGAACTCTGTCATATACTGGAAATGAAAGAAAAATTAGATGTTATTAGATCAGATGCCGTATTCTACTCCAGTAGCTGTTTGCAGCGTCCTAAGGTGTTGCGTGCACTCTGAATACGTCGTCCTTGTAGGATGAAGCATCATGGTGGTGGAAGGCAGAAGATGATGTGGGAATGCTTTAAGTACGAGTAAAAGTCAGGAGAATTTTCTTGTTTTTAACAAAAATAGAGCTCCTTCTTCAGTTTGACTGAATGGGACGTTAATTAGTGAAAAAAGCGATAAAATCTCATCTTTATCGACAAAAAGTGAGAGGAAACAAATCTGGGGAGAGCAGAAAGGTTTTCCACAATTCTCAGTAAAATTAAAGGAGACTCTGTAAAAGCTTTAAGGCAGTAATGAGTTTCTGTGTCTTTTTTTAATATAAATCCAGATTTGTTGCACCTGGAGGCTGAAACAGCTAATTCATGATGGGCCAACGTCAAAGTGGACTCTCCTGTCAAAAATGTCACATGGTTTTATGCAAGAGCTACTGAATTTTTTATTGTTACATTTAACTGGTTGATTATGTAAAGCACATAATTATTTACACAGGAAATGCGATTTGGAGGCAGTGCGCCACCAATTATCTTCCTGTGTGAAACACATAATGAAGGAGTATGTGTGAGAGTAGCTATCTAATAGAAATATGTATATTTTTTTATTAATTAGCCTCAGTATTGGACAAAAAGTCTGAATGAAAACATTTTACATGTTGCGTTATTGGCATGTGTGCAGCTTCTGTGTAAATAAGCACCAAATACAAATGTGGCAAATGGGTTAAGGGTCCAAAGGACAACTTTCTAACTGATGTGATGCTTTTGATGTTAAAGTTATTTTAAAATGGTCGATGTCCACTTATAGGTTCAACCTCCCAATCTGGATTTATACAGGAGTAATCGACTTAAGATATGTTTTTAGATGCTGTTAAATGCTGAAATATCCTTTTTACCCTAGCTGGTTGTAGCTCTTGTTAGAAAATACACAGTTGTTAAATTATTGGCTGTAAAAGGAACCTTTTTCCAAAGGAAAGCTCTTAAATCTCACTGTGACCTTGTGCAAATGTGATTTGCTCTCATGTTTTCTTTATTATCTGTTATATTAGGGTGGAGGGAAAAAAATCAATTTAAAGTCCTATTATAAGCTCCGTTCATCACATCAAAGAATAATAGACAAATAAAAATAACTTTAAAAAGATGTGACCTTGGCCAGACTCTGACAAAAGTGGAGGATTGGAGTAAAGTAAAAGAAAAAAAAAATTACCAGGAATTGGTCAGTAGACAGTCTGGACGCCAATTAGGAAGCATTTCCTCTGAATCAAAGTTTTAGGAAAGAGCTTTAGTTCTCAGGTGTCTGTTGTGAGGACGAATCTAAAGCACTTAAACTGAGAACCGCTGCATTTAGATCACTGCAGCACAACTCTTATGTTACACCGAAGCAAAATGATATCAGGTTAGCTTTTGTAACTGGACTAATGGCCGACACAGGACCGGCTGAAGAGGAGTCTTGAATTTCCTCCTCAGCACTCAGCTTGCTGCTGTACTTACACTAAATTACTTGGCGGTAGCCGTGTGAGCTATGAACCTCACCCTTCTGGTAAACCAGAGATGTGTCTGTGAAACATGGTGCTGATATTTGCTTAAAGTCCCTCAGATGAGGTTGCCTTTCCACTTTGGATCGACTTGGACATGATGGGACTAAAACAACCAGAGATCAACATTATTCAACCTGTTTCAGGAGGCAGGGTTGCAGGAGTAATGCCTAGTTGTGGGTATTGGTCCAGCAGCTTTTCCTTATCCTTTAAATCTGCCCTATTAGATGCTGGCTTCTTCTCTTATGAATGACTGCGCTGAGCAGATTAAACCACAGTGTAGGATTTAGAGCCAATATTGACGGATGTCTTTCTTGTCCAGTTTGCAGAGAAGTTTGCAGAATACAAAGAAGCAGCGCGGCTTGCGAAGGAGAAGAGCCAGGAGAAGATGGAGATGGCCACGTCTCCCTCTCAGGTAAGTTCAGCGTTCCACACAATCACTCCAATCTGAAGGGTTAAATAAGAAAGGGCGATAAAATTCATTGTGCCCAGTATTGGTAAGAGAAGTGTTCAGATTCCTCATTTATATAAAAACAATATTGCTGCAAAATGCTTCCCACAGCTTCTATGTACAGTTTTGCTTCACAGTATTGAAGTCTTCCAAAATCCAAAATTTGATTTGATCATTTATCATTTCTGGAATAACATGAAATCATTAAAACTGAGCATGGAAATGTCGAAATTTCCAGTCTTTAATTGATCTTGATAAATCAATATCTGTTTTCATATTGATTCAAACTCACTCAATCAAATTCTCAGAGAGCTGCTCTTTCACCGCTTCTTTGGCCTCCAAATACTTTCGCTTTTGGACGCTAAACCTTAGAACTGGGTTTATCGTGAACTCTAAAGTTTTTTGTTTTTTAAATCTGATTTAAGTTTGTCTAGCTGCCAAAAAGAGTGAAATAACCCTTTATGAATCTTGTAAGCCAGTCACTGTGTTGTTTCAAAACTCAATAAACCCCGACTAGATAGATATTTTGAATTGAAATGTCCGTAATGCATGGAAAGAAATGCAAGAAAATTGAGTCTGGAGATTATGAATATTTGAAATCTAAATACTGTAGGAACTGTGTAGCAGGTTACTACTATAACTGGTACAGTTTCAACATTATGCACATTATATTATTCTATTTTGCCTTATATATATATAAAACTCAGAAAATCAAAACATCTCACTGATTGTTATCAACTTTAGCCTGACGGTTTCATGCCCAGATAGATTTCTCACTTGGAAAGCAAAATAAAATTTTGATGAAAAGATGACATTTCCAAATGTCAACTTGCAATTTCAAAATAATTAATTAATGAACAAGTAGTAGTAAATAATGAACTGTGTTACACTTAATCCATCTACTTAATTCATCATTTAGGTATTTGTCAGTCTCGAATCCTCTAATTTTACAAACGTGACGCATCGTCTCTCTGCACAACCGACCTGCAGCTTAAAATGCAGAGCCGGGGATTGACTCTACATCAGAGAACACAGTTTACTTTAGATACGGCATTAGTGTGTACAGAAAGTGCGGCAACAACACACTTCAAGGGACGCTCAGTCGTGTCTGTGAGAGAAAATGAACTTGTTTCAGCAGGAGGGAATCCCTGGAGAAATCTGGGTTTTAATCTAAAGACCATTATACCTGGCTTCACATCCACATCTTTTCAATATGGAGGCAAGGTGGAAAGCCCCTGCGCCGTGCTGCAGTCTTTGCCTCTCGCGTGTCTCTTAATGAGGCAAGGAGGACAGCTTCGCGCTCGCCGGGAGCCGGGGGCTGCATGTGCCGCACGACGGAGCAGCGCTGCAAGTCACAGACAGGCCGTAACTGTGAAGGCTGCAGCCTGGCTGATAGGAGCCTGCAGAGGTCTGCTTAAGCTTCTCCATCGCTGAGAGTCAGAGCTTCACCCACGGGCCAGCTGGCACTCAGATCCTTCTCTTTCCTCCACTCCAACTCAACTTAAAGCCGGAGGAGAAACTTTTTCGCTTAAAAAAAAAAAAGACAAGGAAGAGAAGACACGGACCCAGAGCCCGGAGCTTAGGTCCCAGCGGGCCTAAGCTCCGGTGGAAATGCATCACAAACAAATACTTTATAAAGCGCTAATGAACGTGGAGCGCAGAATGTAAAACCAGCCACAATCGTCCTCTTATCTCTGTCTGCCTTCTTGGCCATCAGAGGCGTGCGGGTCTGTGTCATTGTGCTGCTGCATTGAGCTCCGGTCCAGAGTCCTGGCAGCTTTGTTTTATGTGAGTGCAGCAGCTAAATGATTTGTCTCTCGTATAATTCTGTTCTTGTATGGGATATAAAGATAAGAATTAATCTGTACTTCTATAATTTCCCTGCGCCAAAGCGAGCTAGTTTAATCGCCTGTGGGAATGTGGAATTGTTCACTAAGACGGACTAAATTTGTTGCGCCATAATTTTCTACGAGCTTAGAGGACCTTCAGCTCCCTGACCGTCGGACAGCTCTGCCTTTCTACATCTTTGTCTGCAGGTTAATTTGCTGTTTCCAGTTCAGAATAAGAATCCATCAAGGGTTTTTTTTCTTTTAAGATACAAGTGAAGTGAGGTGCAGTTTATTTTGTCATTAAGATTGAAACGTTTAAATTTCGGATTAATGCCTACAGTATTGACAGGTTTAATCATCCATGTTTTGTTTTGTTTTTTTCCTAAAAGTGGGTTGATTGAACTGCATACAAATTCAGTTAATATGAAAAAAAAAAAACAGAATTAGTGCACAAGGTTGAATTAATTGTAGATTTATACACACAGACTCAAATATATATTTCAGTTTGGTAAAATTTAAACTGCGTTTGGGTCAATGTGTTTGATTCTGGCTCTTAATTTGAAATGAAGGTGAACATTTTTTAATTTTTTTGCACCTAAATAGAGCCCATATTATGATGCTGCCACCACTTGTTTTGACAAGTAGTGGTGTTATCTGGTCTAAAACTCCTCCAAAGACATCTTTTTGCCAACCAAATATCTCAACTTTTGCATCATCTGACCATAACAGAATGTTGCTGTTTTTATTTTCTAGACAGCATTTGTGCTGCTGTCCAGGTGGAAAGACTCAGCTTTGGAGCTGATGCTTCTTTTTTGCTCAGCGCCTTTTCAATCTATGTTCAGCCGACTTTCCTGTGGATGAACACACTGCTGTTCTTGTAGCTCTTAGTGTGATAGCTGTGAGCTTTGTACGATCATTAGTTGTTCTTATTCTAACCTAGGACAGTTTGTGTCAGGTGGCTGAGCAATTATGCAAAAAAAAACAACAACTAATAAACATCTAGTACTAGTTTAGGATTGGATAGAGGAGCCAAACATCAGACTGTTGGACTGACATTTTAATCCTGTTCAAAATGTTTGAACATGTGAAAAACTTTATTCTGTGCCTGGAAACCAAGAACTTTAAAGAGCTCAACCTGCTCTACCAAGAGCAGTAATCAAAAAATAATAATAATAATAAAAAAAAACTCACCAAATTATACCAGAAGCTTGTTTATGGCTAAAAATATTGCACATATTTTCTCTGCAACTTGCTGAAAGACATTTTTGCCTAATAATAGAGAGGCTGTGGGTGTGCAGTTCTATGAGGCTTGTTGATCAGATTAATAGTAACTTCTGAAAATATCATTATCACTGACCTCACGTTTCAGTATTAACATTTCTGCATTAAAAGTTGTTTTACTTGCTTGATTATGACTTATCTCTAAGAGGTAAATAATCATATTTGAATAAAAGTTTGTGTGTAATCTGAGTTTGACTCATAAGAGAAAATTTACCACAGACTTCGATTTGTCCACTTAATTCTTATTCGATTTCTTGTTAATTAGATATGAAATGAGCCCTTAAGTAAATGACTGGTTTTCTTGTGAAGGCAGGCTGCAGCTCAAGCAGGATGAAGTTGAAGCCATGCAGTATAATCACGGCTTGCTTCCCATATTAGATAATAACGCTGTGAACGTCCTCTCACCCGCAGGAGTCTCCGGCCGGTGAGCTCGCCTCCCCCCTTACCCCCGTGACTCCCCCCATGGAAAACATCAACGGCACGGACGAGATCTGCGACACGACTCCCAACTCGGACAGCCGTCCGGAGCCGGCGCAGAACGCTCTGGCTTTCGCACACAGGTATATCCCGCTGCAGTGCCCGTCGGCAAAAGATTAGCACCTGGGTCACTTTTATTACTTCATCCGAGCAATGATGGCTGTGAGTTTTTTTTTTTTTTTTTGTCTGCTTGTCCGTCGTCTGCGGTGCAGACGTGAACAGTCCTTCTCTGTCGCTCTCCTGTGTGTCTGAGTTCACCTCTATATCCGTTCCATGTGAGCACAGAAGAGCGAACTCCCTGTATTCACCGCTGCTTTCTCGTGTTTTTTCCTCTTTAGGGAGCAGCTTAAGACTTGTCGGGTCTGCTCTTTCTGATAGTCCCGACTGCTGCGACACCGTGACTTCTCTAAACACACACACACACACAAAAATGAAAAAAAAAGGGGGGGGGGGGGGGAAACAAAACACTAGTGGAGGAAATTTTTTCTTAAAAAAA